TGGGCTCCTCCAAATTAAATTTTGCTTTGGGCGTTGCACCATTCATTTTTGCTTCCATGACGATTTTCAGAATATTCATCGGTGTTTTTACTCCTTCTTGCATTATTTGACAATTCAAAGTAAAGTTTTTTGACATACGTGTCATGAAAATATGTTGCAAAGCATAACATTGCAGACATGCAGGGGCACATTCTGGTTTAAAGACAAAAACAAGTTGAACACTATTTTATTCTGTTACAACACAGCAAACTGAATATTTAGAATATATATATATATATATATATATATATATGCATATGCAATATATTATGCAAATAAACATTCCTAGGGTTTTTATGTTGTTCAAAAAGTTTAAACTACTTTGGTAGCATCATTATAGCAAAGAAGGAGGAGCTCAGTGATTATTTTTGTATTTTCCTGGGTTTTGTTGTGAGAGATTGTGCATCCACCCTTAAGGGCTCCCTGATTTGAGCTGTCAGACGGAAGGAGAGGCTAAACTTGGTGAAGCAGAGAAAAGAGCAAGGCACATGTCAAATATGAGAAGATCTTGAGTAAACAAAGTATAACACGGACCAAAACAAAATCGTATCTCATCCCATCACAGCCTTTCCTGTTGTTTCACTCTCTGTCTTTTTCTCTCTTGCCACTTTAAACATTAAGTGTCAGTTTTCCCAAATGTTCTGTTCAGCCATTCCACACTGAAACATACCTATTAATAAAAAGCTACTTTTAATCTGGTAATCAGGATTCTACTGAGTGGAAATACAACGGGTGGTAAGAGGTAACTTTTTCATGCTTTTGTAGAAAAGTCAGTCATCTAAGTGGAAAGGGCCAAAAATAAATGAAAATCATTTGTAGCAGACACATGTTCTCAAAGTCATGAAAGAAAATTTACAGTCAGAAAACCAGACAGAGTTAACATTGTTGTGTGTCACTCTGGGCCCCAAGCCAAACAAAAGCATTTAGATACTCAAAAAAATGAAAAAGCACAACAGAAACACAACCACTGTGGTCTACAGGTTGGCTTCTAATAATTGCAATCGACAGGGACAAATTCCCTGCTTCCCTGTGTTTGTCAGATGGGCTTACTCCCAAACTCCACAAATCCTCCTGTCCAAACTCAACCATATGGTCTCCCAGCTGTTCGTGACCAGCTGTGCTACAGTATTTCTGGAAATGTTGCCATGTACTGTTGCACTCCCCCTCCATTCCAACTCAGTAAATCTTCTGCAATGAGGCCAGAACAATTTCCATGCTGGCTTGTGAATCAAAGTAAAAAATAGTGTGAGGATAATGGAAAGACAG